GACAACACCAGAACAATCGTATTATCAATTTCTCAAAGCTTTAGAATATCTACCAAAGAAAGATGTTCAAGACCTATTTCAATATTACGAAGAAAACGAAGAAGAAGTGGAAATAAAAGATATCATAGATAACTACATCGAAGGAAAGAAACCAACGGATATAAAAGTTTTTCTTACGAAAAATGTTAATGATCTAGACTTCGTCTAATATTGATAGCAAACGAAAGAACTTAATATTGTTTGACGACTGCGTTGCGCAAAGAAATCAAACTGTTCAACAAGAATTCTTCACGAAGGGAAGACATCACAACTGTCACTGCATATACCAATCCCAATCTTTTTACGGGATGGATTCTATGTTTATTAGAAAAAATGCAAATTGTTTTTTATTTTTTGAATTAAACAATAAAGATTTATCTCAAATCATTCAGTCGATAAATCACGGAATGGACAGAGATGCATTCAAAAAAGCTTGTAAAGCTCAATGGAAAAACGCAGATGATCATGGATATATATTCGTTAATACTAGAAAACCTGCAGGTGAAAGAGTTATGACAGACATTTGTTAAATTTTATTTTTTTAAAAATGGATAATTGGAATAATATTTTAAAAAGAAATAAAGAATATATCAAAGCTAAGAATAAAATAAAGACCCAAGTTGAAAATAATAGATTACAACAACTCGGATTAACGGAAAATCTACAAACTCTATTTCAACCCATATTAAAATCTCAAGAGGATATTAAAAGGAAATTAGAATATAAACCTCCGATAGAACCTCCTATAGAACACCCCCAAACCGATTGAATATGATGGTATTATAATTAGGACATTAGATGATATAAATCGTCTTTTTTCAAATCCTAAAGCAGATTTACCAAAGAGTATTACACCAATCATTGATGATGAGGGGTTATTGTTATACAAAAAACCTAATATTTACATTAACGAAAGGATTAATAGATGTAATTAATGGCGAAGATCGAAAGCAGTTGAAACATATTTAAATAAAGTTATTCCTGATGAATATGAAGTTGATAAAGCAGATGATGAATATGAAGATGAGGTTATTCCTGATGAAGAGGAATCAGATGATTATGCAGAAGATTATTCACCAATCATACAAGAAATAGACGAATTCGATGATATGCTGGCATCTGGAGAAGGTTTAATGTTTTTATCCGATAATAACGAAGAACTACTTAATAGATTGCGAGTAATATTAGCGGCAGTGAAGGAAGGACATCGATCAAACAGACAATATAATGAAGTAAATTGTATATTAAAAAGACTCCTAGAAAAAGGTATCATAGATAAAAATGATTATAAAAGCGTGATTAAAAATGTCAAATAAAGAACAACTATTCGTCATCACCTCAAATAAATCAGACATTAAATTATCTCTAGATTATGAGTACGAACTCGATCGCAATCAAGAATATGAATTTGGATTAAAGTATTTTTCTGTTTACAATTCCATTAGAAATATCAACGAAAAAAATAAATAAAAATATCAACAGATAACGGAGTTACGTTCAAAACCATACGTTTACTACCAGGAAGCTACGAATACATAGCCATTAACGAATACCTATCTGAATATGGAGGAAGTGTAAATGGTAAAAACAATATTGAATTCGAAGGTAATTTGAATCTGAACAAAATAAAATTGATATTAAGAAATAATAGTCAAGTTGATTTCAACGTAGAAATTCATTGAATACGTTACTAGGATTTGATAAACGAGTATACACCCAATCCACTTTAGCACCACACAAAGCTAATATGGAGAATGATATCGATGTGATAAATATACATTGCAATTTGATAAACGGTG